TCCTGCGCACTGCTGGTAGGGATGTGAATGGCACTGCAGTTATGGAAAACAGTATGGGAAGTTGTCCAGAAAAGTATACTAGAAATACCACAGCACCCAGCAATCCCACTGCTGGCTGTATCCAAAGGAGCTGAAGGCAAGACCTTGAAGAGATATTTGCATAACCGCTGATTCAATTGGCTTTCTGCTGGCACAAGAAGATACTCCAGCCTGAGCACTTTATAAAGAAGAGGGGTTTATTTTATTATTTTTCGGTACCAGGGATCAAACTCAGGCCCTTGTGCTTTTGAGGCAGGCGGCAGAACCACTGAGCTAAATCCCCAGTCCAGAAGAGAGGTTTATTGAGCCCTCAGTTTTGGAAGCTGCAGCTCCACTTCTGGCATCCCCATATCTTCTGGTCTTTCCAGGGCTCCCTCAGGCTGTGTAACGACACTGAAGAAACTTCACTGCAAAGCCGCAAGCCCAGAATCCCAGGGGCCAGCTCGCTCCTGAACAAGCACCCACTGTCACAGCGACTCACAGAGGCTCCCAGGGACCCGCACTGGTCCCTTCCAAGGACGGCACCCTGCCTAAAGCTTCCGCCACTGCTCCGGAGACCAGCCACACCTCCGGCGCAGGACTCACTGAGGGAAAAACCACGTTCAGGCCCAGGCCATCTTCACCGCAGCTTTCTTTACAACTCGGAGAAGTAGGTGCGGCCCAAGTCCCATGGACAGAGAAGCACAAACAAAACCAACGCATGTGTGCAATGCAGTATCCTTCAGTCTTGGGAAGAAGGAAATCCGACCCACCACAGCATGCTGAGTCCTGAGGACATCACACTAAGCGGAACAAGCCCATCCAGACAAACGCGTGAGGCATTTAGCATAGTTAGAACCATGGAAACAAAAGTAGACTAGGGATTGCTGGATGGGAGAGGTGAGGAAGGAATGAGGGAGCCGTCTGATGAGCAGAAGTCTTAGCAAAAAATAAATATTTTATTATCATCATTATTATTATTTTTAAGACCCAGGGCTTCGTTGTGCTGCCAAGGCTGGTCTCAAATGCCTGGGCTCAAGTGACCTGCCTGCCTCTGCCTCTTGAGTGGCTGTTACTACTCGGTCAACTTCAGTTTTTTGAGCTGAGGAGGCTCTAGAGAACTATTTTCCAACCATGTGAATCTAGTTAACACTACTGAACTATATATTTTAAAAAATGGCTATGAGGGTAAATATATAACACGCATTTTTACAATGAGAATGAATAAACCATAAGTGAATGAAGGAATGACGGGATGGATGGGTGAGTGGTTTCATGGATTAGCTCTTCCTGGGGGCATGTGAATTTTCAAAGAAAAGTTCTCAGGGTGAAAACATTTAAAAGGAAAATTCCTTCACAGTGGTGGGATTTCAGACCGCTCTGTAGAGACCTTTGGGGCTCGTGGTGGTATTTTTATGCTGCAATTTGGGAAAAATATATTTTTGGAAACCCAATAATTGGTTATTACTCTTTAAGTGTTTAGGAGCATAAAGGCAATGCATCTTCAAAGAGCTGGGCTTTCTTCCATGATTCATCAAAACATACTTAAAATTTCATGCCGTTTAGAGACACACACAACATTTTATTTAAATTTTTTTTTTCTTGAACTCGGGTCCTTGTGCTTGTGAGGCAGGCGGCGGAACCACTGAGCTAAATCCCTGGCGGTGTTTTATTTTTTTTTAAAAAATTTATTTATTTACTGTGCTAGGGATCAAATCCAGGGCTTGGGTGTGTGAGAAAAGATCTCTACCATGGAGCTACAGGCCCAGCAGACCTAAACCTTGTTCTAACAAGCTGGGCCGGGTGCGTGGCTCTGTGGAAGGGACAGGAAGGGCAGTAACCGCCCTCAGACTCCCATCTCTAGGCCCAAGGAGGACTGGCTCCTTAATGGTAGCAAAGGCTGTCTTTCTTACTGTTTGCCCCCTTCTTACTGCTTCTTAGAATTAACTTTGCAATTCTTTCCCACTTTTTATACTCTTTCCTCAATATTGAGATGTTTTCTTCTAATAACAAAACAAGCTGAATACGACAAGAAATCATTTATGGAATTCCTTTTCCGGGCTGGATTCTGGGCCTTGGCTCTGGAGTCTTTCCACACAGTGGACCTGCAGACCAGGGCAGGGGTGACATCCAAGGTCACCAGGCCCAGGAGTGAAATGTACTAGTGTGCAACCTACAGAACCCCCTACTCCTGATCTCCAGGGTCTGAGTCCACATTTCAACCAGTCCCCTTTGGAGCTAGAAAAGACCATCTTACGGGAGTGGACCTCCAGATCCTGAACCTAGAGAGAGGGGTCCATACCTTCACTTTCCAGGTGTCTTCGTTCCTTTTCTCTTGATTCTGATACCCAAAATTAAAGATTTCTTTGGCTTACAGTTTGTGGAGGGTTCAGTCCATAGTCTGCTGACTCCAAGGCTCCAAGTGGCGGAGAGGTAACAGCTTGTGGAGGCGGAAGATAGCAAAAGCAGCAAGGAACCTTAACAGTGTCTTTCTGCCCCTTTTATCTTATTCGGACTACTTAGGGCAGGAAGCACTCCCGCCCTTAATCCTAGTGCCCTCGGGCCCCACCCCACAAGAATCAATCACACACTCTCACTTAGCCATCTCTGAGAAAGTGTGAGGCTCTGGGGGGACATCTAGACACAGCCATAACACCAGGCAAGCAAATGGTGGGTGATTTCAGTTGGGCAGCTGTGCTTGTTGCTCTGTGGAGGAGCCTGGCTCTGAATCATCTCCTGGCTCTTACCCTGGGCTGCCACTCACCAGTGTACTGCATTGGCCTCCAGGACAAAGCAGTCTTCTGAGGTCTCTGGGAACCACAAATGCTCCCCTTCCCTCCAATCCTCACCGCTCTCCAGTGCAGTTCAGAATCCTTCGTCTGGAGGCCACAGCCCTTCTGATCTGTCCCGGATCCCGTCCAGCCCTGCCTCCTCCCAGTTGATGAGAGTATGGGGCGGGAAAGGGACCCTCACTTCTGGGAGCATAAAAACTTGTCCCTCCACTGTGCCCTCCATTTTCTGGCATCCCTGGTTCTTGTTCAAGTTTTCCTTTGGAGACAGTGGTGATTCCTGGGAGTCAATGTGGGAGGGGAGCGGGCACAGCCATCTGCCTGCACGGGGGTTTGAAGGGGCGTGAAGCTGCGTTTACACTTGTGTTTTTGCAGAACAGGTCAATTTTTGGACTCAGAGGGTGGGGTGGGGGAGGATCTTCTGAAGCAGCCGGAAGACGCCACTCCATCCTCCCTTGGCAGCTTACTTATCAAGGCTCAGCCTGGCCACCTCCTTCATGAGGGTCACCCTCCACAGGAGGGTTCACTCACGGTGCACACCCATCCCATCTTGTGTGGCAGTTCTTCACAAACTCCCTCTCTGTCCCGTGACAATGGGCGTGATGGGTGTACATCTCCTCACCCGCCAGGTGCATCCTTGCTCTGGCTCTAACCGGCAAGAAAGGAACCAGCACTTATCCTTGGAGGACGACCATAAAGAGTCCTTGCTTAAATTCCGTAGTGGCCTGGGGTGTAGCTCAGTAGTAGCGCACCTGGGCATGTGTGAGGCCATGGGTTCAATCCCTAGCACTGCCAAACAATGTCTTCAAAGAAAATTTCAGGTCTAGTAAAGTCAACAGATCAGGAGATGAGTTTCACCAAGCGGACTGTTTATTATTCACTGTTTTCAGAGACAGGGGCTCAACATGCCAGAGGGTCACAAAGGGAAGCACCAGGGTTGCTAAGGAGGAGGTGGGGAAGAGTGGGAAGGCAGGGTAGGCAGGCGTTGGGTGGGCTGGTCTGCATACTTTCAGTGGCCATGGGGCAAAGGAGCTGTCTGGCACCTGCCCTGGAGTGATCAGGGAAGGGTGGCTAAGTGTGGGCTCTGCACTGGTTGCTCTGGTTTGCTCTGGTGAGCTGGTTATTGTTTCTAGGGACTGGCTGGTCTGGGATGAGCCATCTCTCAGGGCCAGCAGGGTCCAGATGTCAAAGGATCAGCAGAGAAGACCAAGTGAACACTGCCCTTGTTGCAAGGGCATCTCTCTTACTTCATGGTGCTCAGGCTGAGCTGAGGCACCCTCATTAACCCCTGCACAGTCCTGACACCTGCATTCCAGGGCCATTCTCTGGATTGGGTCAGGTGGGGTTAGGCAAGTATATCGGTCAGTTTCGATCACTGGGACCTCACACCCAACACCTGCAGAAGGATGGCAGAAGGAGGAGAGAGTTAATCTGGCTCACGGTTTCAGGGGATTCAGTCCAAGGCAGGAACATCATGGTGGAAGGGCGAGCAGGAGTGCAGCTGCTCATTTCATGGCTGCCGGAGGCAGAGCAGGGGAGCAGTGCCTGAGAGGAAGGATCCTGGGAGTATAAACAGTGCCCAAAGGCCAAGCCTCCATGACTGGCCCGACACACCCAGGAGTGTGCTTTGCTAAGATGCTGGACAGCTCTCAATCCAGCCAGGCTGACATATCAGTGAGGACATCAGCAAGTCCAGGCTGGCATCTGTCCAGTGTGCTCCAGGAGTGCTGGATTGTCCTGTGATTACATGGGCCCTGGGCAAGTGTGCTGCTCTTAGAAGGAGATGTCCTCGCTCAACACAAGGTTCTGGTGATCCTGGGCACAGACCCTCTCCAGAAGGGGTGGGCATTCTTTCCTGTGAGCTGACAGGTGGTCCACAGTCTGAGGGCAGCACAGGTGCTGCTAAGCCACCTCGGGAGACTGCGTGTGAAAGCTGGACTTTCACTTCTGCCAGAGCGGGCAGTGTCATGGTCACAAATTCATGTGACCCTCACACATGACCCTGAGGACAGAGAGGAGTTAGCCACCAGTCCCGTTGCAAGGTGAGTCCGAGGCTTGTGGTCTGTGCTTCTGCCCGGCACATGGACAGCGAGGGAGACAAGACACCTGTACAGCTGGGCCCCTCTTGGCCAGGCGCTCTGCTCCCCATGCAGCAGGAGGACAGGGGCTTGATGGCACCCAGTGCGCTGGTTCTCAGTGCCGAGCATCCTCTGGCTCCAAAAGCAGGTAGTTTTGCCAGGGCTTGGGCAAGGGTAACAGGGGCACGAGGTGAAAGCACTTTTTGTCAAAGAGTTTGCAGAGGGTACAGTGGCAGAGGTGCTGCAGGCAGTGTGGGATGCAGGCCAGGGTGAGGATAGACTGGTAGAAAGGCTGGTGCATCTGAAGGGAAGGCAGGCGGATTGTAACTCAGGGACACGGAACCAACAAGGGCTGGTTCTTCCTAGCCAGGCTGCAGATGGCACAGGCCATCCTTCTGCCACTCACTGATACCAGGAAGCCACCACGGAGCAACAGGGCCCACTGTGGAGCCGTTTGTGCACCTTTCTGCAGCACAGATCACCGAGTCGGGGGGACTCAGGATGGACCCGAGTCCAGGGGTGACTTTGTTAGTGGGAAGCTGCCTGCTGGGCCCTTCCCTTTGGCCAGAGAGGGCTCGGGAGCCTGGGGTTCAGCACTCAGCAGGCCAGGGGTGTTCTGAGTCAGGGTCTCTCTGTGTAGCCCAGGCTGGCCTTGAACTCTTGGCAGTCCCCCTGCCTCAGCCTCCCCAGTGCTGAGATCACAGGTGTGCACTACCTGCCCGGCTCATTCTCACTCTGGGGTCACCTGTGGATTTTGTGTACATGTAATGCCTGCTGCTGTGTGCCCACATCTGAGCTGTCAGCCGATGATGGCCACGCACAGGCCAGACTGGCACGTCCAGCAATGGAGCCAGGATCTGTGTGTCAGCGCAGCCGCAGGGCCTCCCTTCTCGGGTCAGGTCGCCTGAGTCTCCTCGTTGTTTAGAGAATAATGACAAGGAAGACAGGTCTGTCTGTGTTCAGTGCCCCAGCATTTCTGACCTGTGGACAGTGTGACTCACGGATGCACAATCCACGGACATGGATGGTGGAAACTCACTCCTGGGTGTGTGATGCCTGAGCCCCCATGGGAAACGGAAATATATGCAAATACACCCCCAGCTTCCCCTGCACCTTCCTTCTCCAGATGTTTTATAATGCCTGGATATCAGTGCAGAACTCCACACTAAAAAGCGTGGTCTCCTTTACCAAGCTTGCACCAGAGAGCAAATCGAGGCAGGTCCGTACCTGATAGGCTTCTTCAGGGATCACCTCCTTCCAGGACTCAGATGCCTGGAGCTAAGCATAGAAGTTGAAGAGAACCTCAAGGATTGCCGTGACTGGCACACAGGTCCTCAGCACCTGGTGGGAAGAGGGGGAGACCTGCTGTAGGGTGACAGAGTGGGACAAGGGCAGGGGATGAGGGATGTGTCTGGACCCCCCCCCTGCTGTGTTGTCTCGGTCCCCAGGTCACCCAGGGAGAGCAAAGGTGACAGCAGAGCATGGTTGCTGCAGGGACAATGACAAATCTGCAGATGAACACAATACCACAGCTCTGCCAGGGCCCTGCCTCCTCTGGACGGCCCCTGGGGGACAGCTGGGCATGGGCTGAAGCCATCAGGTGCCTGGGGAGCTGCTGCTCACTTGGCAGGCCCTGGCTCCCTTCTGCAGAGCCACTCTGAGCAAAGGAAGGCAGTTCCGCTGCAAGCCTGGTCCTAGGACCAGGACGATCTTCTCCAATTTGCTACTCAATTCCCCAGTGTCTGGAAACTGAGGACAGCAGTGGATTGAAGTAGGAAGATTTGCTTTGGTGCTGAATTTCCTCTTGTCTTGGCTGTAGCAAAAATTCCTGTTTTCTTATTTGCAATTTTGTACATCAGGTCCATCAGCTTCATCATAAAGACAAGAACACTATTTGCTTTTGAAAAATAAGTTTTTATATCACGGGGCAATTTGAACATATACAAAAGTGGATCAAACTGATAATAAACTCCTATGCACTCACTGTCCACCCAGGGTCAGTCCTGCCCCCTCACTGCCCTGGTATAAACTCCAAACAGATCCATATATTATGGCTTTATCTAGATGTCCCCCAAAGCCTCATGAGGTCATGAGGTGGGGCTTTTTGGAGGTGGAGGATCTAGGGTGTATGACCCTGGGATTAAGGGTGTGTGGCACTGAATTAGGCCACTAATTGGTTTATCATAGTTCTGGGTGTGGGTTATGGGAAGGACCACCATGGGCGTGGGTGGTACCACCTGAAAAGTTTATGGCTTTGATGGGATAAAAAGGAAAGGGAGGCTTGTTGCTGTTGGTTGATACCCTGCTGTGGACTGTTTCTTCTCTGCGATGCCCCTCTCCCATGCTGCCCTGCCTTGAGCCAGCTGACTATGAACTGAAACCTCTACAAACTGTGAGCCACAATTAACCTCTCCTCCTATGTCAGGTATTTTGTCTCAGCAATTAGAAAGTAACTAAGACACAATGAATCCTATCATTTATTTGTAATTATTTCAGTGTGTCTCTTAAAAGACCTTTTAGAAGAGGCATAAGCATGATTACTTATTATAACACCTAAGAAATTAACAATCACTTAATGCCATTTATATTTAGTCAGCATTTATATTCACAGATTTCTCTTCAATGCCATTATATTAACAAAATAATTTGTTTGCTGTGTTGTCAGGGTATTCATTTAGGTTTTTTCTTGCTTCGTGGGTTGATTGACAGCAGACACTGTCCTGTAGGCTCACAGTGGGTTCTGCTGATTTTTTGCCTGTGGGGTTTGGGAACCTGCTGTTCCTTTTCTGTCTTCTGCAAATTGGTCCTTGGATTCAGCCGCTTGACAAAATTCACATTTGATCTCAGAGAGAGGCCTCTTCATAGCTTCTTTTTTGAGGTGTAAGGTTTACCAAGAGTCGTGAGGTGGCGCTTCCTCTTTCTTGGCTGAGAAAGCTGAGGTTACGTGGCTTTTCTGAGGCCAGGCATTATGTACTATGACAGACGGCGACCAGAGCCCGCGTAATGCCACTGGGCCTGCATCTGTGCCAGGCATCCCCAAGTGAGCCCAAGGGAGTGGGGAAAGCATTCCTTACAGCTGCTCTGCTCACATCTTCCAGCTCCACATCTAAGACCCCTCTGAAACACACAGTGTCAGAAGAAATAAAACTCATAGTTCTTTGTTCAGATATAGCTAGTAGTAACCTGGTGTGTGTGCTGATGTTTATGGATTTAAACGGAAATAATATATACGGGGTGGTTCTAACTTAGAAAGGTCCTGTTTAAATGATTTTTTTTTTGCTTTACAACAGTGAGAGAGCAGTATCTATCCGGTAGAGATCATACTTGAATTCTGCATCTGGATCCTTCCCCAGGCTGCAGGCAGGGAGGGAGGGAGTCCCTTCCCAGGCTTTCAGGCAGCCCCAAGATCATGAGGAGACACAATGGCGCCTTCCAGTGTGCTGTGTTGTTAAATACAGGGACTCAGTAGGGTCTGGGGCATTCGGTGCATCTTTGATGAACAATCTTCTCAACTTAGGATGACTGTATGGGGGTGTACTTGCCATTGTAAGCTGAGGTACATTTGTATAACCAAAATGGCAGCTGCTTTGTATATCATTTTGAAACTTGATTTTTTTTTCCCACTTAAAATAGACTGTGAATAGCCGGGCACGGTAGCGCATGCCTGTAATTCTCAAAAAAAAAAAAAAAAAGGTGTACAATTCAAACAGTACTGATGACCACTTCAGTATAAATTTTGTGACCATATGTTTTATTTTTTGAATTTATCACAATGTATTCAATGAATTAGCTATGAACTTGTCTTAGTAGTTCTGATATAATATCAAATATCTTTCAGTATCGTTCTACCTGTTCTATCTTCTTCTGTCCCAACTCTTTTCTTGTTTGTTTTGGGCTGGGGATCAAACTCAGGGCCTCTATACTGAGCTAACTCTCAGCTGTTTAAAAATTTTTTGAGGCAGGGTCTCCCCAAGTTGCTAAGTTGCCCAGGTTGGGCTCAAACTTGTGATCCTCCTGCCTCAGCCTCCTAGAGTTCTGGGTTGACAGATGTGTACCACTACCTCTGGCTTTTGTCTTAAAACACTTAAATTCAGTTCCTAGAAATACAATCACAGTGTTAAATGATACTTAGATTTTAAAGCTTTTAAAGCACACTGCCAAACTGATGTGCTCAATTGGTCCACTGTTCCAAGGACTGGGTCATATCCAGAGTGTCTCTGCCCCTCCCAGAGTGTGTGAGCACTTACTACTGATCAGTGCAGTAGGGATTATTTACTGCTGTTTTGGGGAATCACTTGTCTTTCTTCTTTTATGAGTTGCTAAATTACATGTTTTGCTTATTTTTCTATTGGTGTGTTCATTTTTTCACTGATTTGTAAGTACACTTTATTTTCCAGCTATGCAAACATTTTTGCAAATAATTGTACTCTTTCTTCCTTGATATTATTTCTTATTCATCTTTCCATTATACTGTCTTATTAGAGCTTTTTACATTCAGTGTTAACTGACAACATTGGTAGCATATCTTATTCCTAATTTTAATAGGATCATCTCTAATAGATCTAATCTCTAATCATTTAATAATATCTAACAGGATCTCTTATAGGATCATCTCTAGATCTAATATCTTGGATATTAGTTTCAAATAAGTACTGTGTTCTGAGTTCAGGAAATACCTTTCTATTGCTTAATTACAACAAAGTTTGAGATTTAACCCTTTCTTTTTACATTTGTTTTTTGATGGTATATATTATGATTTTCATCAATAAATTTTAGTACTTGACTTTTTACATCTATTTAGAAGATTTCCCAGTATTGACCCATTTTTGGATTTGTAAAACAGACCCTCTTTGATTATTCTTCTCTATATTAGACATCAAATAGATTACATATCACAGGTATCCACATACTATAGAACTGTATATAGATATAGACTTTATTGGCTAAATTGATAATCATTACCCTGGTGACCCCTTGTTTCAATTTTTTATTAAACTGAACATCAAGGTTCGGATACTAAGCAGGGACAGACATGTTTCTCCAAGATGACCAAGACCAAAAGGGACCAGCAAATAGGTCTGTAATAGGTTTTCTAATAAATCAATAGCATAGGGACTTTTTACCTCATTGCTAACCACACTGTTTTAAATCTTTAAAAATTTTAAACTCAAATGCTTCAGGAACAGTCACCTCATGGCTGAGATCATTGGGGTCAGCCTGAGTCTCTACTGGGAAGCACATTGGTGCTCCAGAAGCCTCTCCCCAGCTGCCTCCTGTTGTAATACCCTGCCACAATGGGTAATAGGGTGTTAAATTGTAATGGCTGTGCTGAGAGGGTGGGCAAGGAGGAGGAAGGTCAGCCTCTTCCGGGAGAGGAGCCCTGGGATTTGCCTGTGATGCTGTCACATTCCCAGAGAAGGGTGAGTCCAAAGTGTGAGAAACAGCAAGCAGGTTTGGTGGAAGCTTGAGGCTCGGTTGTAAGGGCCCTAAAATTGAGCACACAAGGCTCCAGATTGTGAAGTTCTGTGGGGAGACAGCTTCTCTCTGTAAAGCTCTGGAGGTTATTTCCGGGGTGCTCCCCAAGTTTCACATCCAAGGAACCAAGGATTATATTTAATGATTTCTTGCAGCATTTTTCAAGTCTGTTGGCCATCACCGTGTAGTTTGCTTATGTAAGAAGGGTGTGGGGCAACTGGACGTAATGTTGCTCTTTGGCTGAAAGTGACTGGCCTTGTTTTAGTCCCAGATGATTTCTTACTTGTGCTGGATGCACTTACTCTGCTTCCTCTTTGGGTGTCCCTAACTCATGGTGCAAGGGACAAGCACTATTGATACACCATGTCCACTCTGAGTGGATTTTATTGGGGAGGTGCCTTGTGGGTTCAAGTTCCACATTGGGCATGGTTATCAAAGACCCCTGTGATGGGTCCTGATCTCCTGCACAGTGCTATGATGCAAGATGAGAAGAAATACTCCAAGACAGAATTAAAGAGAGAAATGTGGGGAGCCAGGATGGCCAGTGCTGAGCAAGCAGCAAAAAACTTTGGCTGATATTTATTGCTGCTGATATTTATTGGTGATACAATCATAGTTAAATTGAGGTAAAGGACTACATGAAGTTACTGTGGAAACACTGCTGACACAGGCAAGCCATGTAAAGGAAAAGGCAAAGCATTCTTGAATTAGGAACAAAACAGACAGAATATAGGTTGTGGTCAGTTATTAACCCTCTTTTTTTTTTTTTAGTAAAGAAGGTTTTAATTTTTCCCCCCCCGGAACCTGGGATCAAACTCAGGACCTGTGCTTGCGAGGAAGGCACGGTGGGAAGGTTTTAATTTTGG